GGGAGTTGAAAGTCCGTGTTGCCCAGCGACAGCCCCAAAACATCACTGCTCTAGAGGAGATCTGCATGGAGGAATGGGCCAAAATACCAGCAACAGTGTGTGAAAACCTTGTGAAGACTTACAGAAAACGTTTGACCTGTGTCATTGCCAACAAAGGGTATATAACAAAGTATTGAGAAACGTTTGTTATTGACCAAATACTTATTTTCCACCATAATTTGCAAATAAATTCATTATAAAATCCTACAATGTGATTTTCTGGATTTCTTTTTCTCATTTTGTTTGTCATAGTTGACGTGTACCTATGATGAAAATTACATGCCTCTCTCATCTTTTTAAGTGGGAGAACTTGCACAATTGGTGGCTGACTAAATACTTTTTTCCCCCACTGTATATAACATCCCACAGTTGACAGTGCATGTCAGAGCAAAAACAAAGCAGAGAGGTCAAAGGAATTGTCCGTAAAGCTCCGTGACAGGATTGTGTCGAGGCACAGATCTGGGGAAGGGTACCAAAACATTTCTGCAGCCCTGAAGTTCCCCAAGAACACAATGGCCATCATTCTTAAATGGAAGAAGTTTGGAACCACCAAGACTCTTCCTAGAGCTGGCCGCCCAGCCAAACTGAACAATCTGGGGAGAAGGGCCTTGGTCAGGGAGGTGACCAAGAACCCGATGGTCACTCTGACAGAGCTCCAGAGTTCCTCTGTGGAGATGAGAGAACCTTCCAGAAGGACAACAATCTCTGCAGCACTTCACCAATCAGGCCTTTATGGTAGAGTGGCCAGACAGAAGCTACTCCTCAGTAAAATGCACATGACAGCCAACTTGGAGTTTGCCAAAAGGCACCTAAAGACCATCAGACCATGAGAAACAAGATGATGGTCTGATGAAACCAAGATTTAACTCTTTGGCCTGAATGCCAAGCGTCATGTCTGGAGGAAACCTGGCACCATCCCTACGGTGAAGAATGGTGGTGGCAGCATCATGCTGTGGGGATGTTTTTCAGCGGCAGGGACTGGGAGACTAGTCAGGATCGAGGGAAAGATGAACGGAGCAAAGTACAGAGAGATCCTTGATGAAAACCTGCTCCAAAGCGCTCAGGACCTCAGACTGGGGGCGAACAGTACAACGACCCTAAGCGTACAGCCAAGACAACGCAGGAGTGGCTTCAGGACAAGTCTCTGAATGTCCATGAGTGACCGAGCCAGAGCCCGGGCTTGAACCCGATCTAACATCTCTGGAGAGACCTGAAAATAGTTCTGCAACGACGCTCCCCATCCAACCTGGCAGAGCTTGAGAGGATCTGCAGAGAAGAATGGGAGAAACTCCCCAAATACAGGTGTGCCAAGCTTGTAGCGTCATACCCAAGAAGACTCGGGCTGTAATCGCTGCCAAAGGTGCTTCAACAAAGTACTGAGTAAAGGGTCTGAATATTTATGTAAATGTGATATTTATGTAGTTTTTTTAAATATACATTTGCTACAATTTCTAAAAACCTGTTTTTGCTTTGTCATTATGGGGTATTGTGTGTAGATTGATTAGGGGAAAAAACTATTTAATCAATTTTAGGAAAAGGCTGTAGTGTAACAGAATGTGGAAAAAGTCAAGGGGTCTGAATACTTTCTGAATGTACTGTATATGATGGGATGTATGGACAGTATGTGGATAGGCCTTGACTACAATACGGTATATACTGTACATAGAGTATGAAATGAGTAACAGTATGTAAACATTATTAAAGTGACCAGTGTTCCATGACTATAGGGCAGAAGCCTCCAAGGTGCATGTTAGAGTAATCGGGTGGTAGCCGGCTAGTGACAGTGACTAAAGTTCAGGGCATGGTACTGGGCGGAGGCCGGCTAGTGTTGACAATTTAACAGTTTGATGGCCTTAAGATAGAGGCTGTTTTTCAGTCTCTCAGTCCCAGCTTTGATGTTCCTGTAATGACCTCGCCTTCTGGGTGGTAGCGGGGTGAACATGCCGCGGCTCAGGTGGCTGAGGCCCTTGATGATCTTCTTGAACTCCACTTTGTCTCTGTACTGACAATTTGTATGTTTGATTGCCTTACGAAGGGCATAACTGGACTGTTTGTACTCAACTATATTCCCAGTCACCTTGCCGTGGTTAAATGCTGTGGTTCAAGCTTTCAGTTTTGCGCGAATGCTGCCATTTATCCACAGTTTTTGGTTTGGATAGGTTTTAATTGTCACAGTGGGAACAACATCCCCTATACACTTCCTGATGAACTCAGTCACCATGTCAGTGTATAAGTCACTTTTACTCTCGGAGGAAACCTGGATCATATCCCAGTCTGCGTGATCAAAACAATCTTGAAGCATGGATTCCGATTGGTCAGACCGGGTACTTCCTGTTTGGGTTTCTGCCTATAGGAAGGGAGGAGCAGGATGGAGGTGTGATCTGATTTGCCGAATGGAGGGTGGGGGGGGGCCTTGTAGCTGTCCCGGAAGGGAGAGTAGCAATGGTAGCAATGGAGAGTTTTTGATGCGTGAGCGGCGCAGGCAATGTGTTGATAATACTTTTGTAGCGTTTTCCTAAAATGTGCTATACTAAAGTCCCCAGCTACAATAAATGTGGCCTCAGGATATGCGGTTTCCAGTTTGCACAAAGTTCAGTGCAGTTCCTTGTGAGCAGTTGTGGTATCGGTTTGAGGGGGAATATACACGGCTGTGACGATGACCAAAGAGAAATCTCTCGGGAGGTAATGCGGTCGGCATTTGATTGTGAGGTATTCTAGGTCGGGTGAACAAAAGGACCTGAGTTCCTGTACATTACCTTTACATTTTAGCAGACACTCTTATCCAGAGCAACTTACAGTTAGTGCATACATTATTATTTTTATTTTCATACTGCCTCCCCGTGGGAATCGAACCCACAACCCTGGCGTTGCAAACGCCATGCTCTACCAACTGAGCTACATCTCTGCCGGCCATTCCCTCCTCTACCCTGGACGATGCTGGGCCAATTGTGTGCCGCCCCATGGGTCTCCCGGTCGTGGCCTGCTACGACAGAGCCTGGATTCGAACCAGGATCTCTAGTGGCACAGCTTGCACTGCATCGCCTTAGACCACTGCGCCACTCGGGAGATACTCTACCACAATCACACCATGATTAGTTAATCATGAAACATACATCTCCGCTTTTCTTTTTCCCAGAGAGTTCTTTATTTCTGTCTGCGCGATGTACTGAGAACCCAACTGGCTGTATGGACGGGGACAGTATATCTGGAGAGAGCCATGATTCCGTGAAACAGAGTATTTTATAGTCCCTGATGTCTCTCTGGCAGGAGATCCTCGCCCTGAGCTTGTCTACTTTATTGTCCAGGGAATGAACATTAGCGAGTAATGTACTCGGAAGCGATGGATGGTATGCACGCCTCCTGAGTCGGACTAAAAGTCAATTCCGAATATCTCTTCTCCGCCGGTGGCGTCTTGGAGCAGTGTCTGGGATAAGTGGAATGGCATTGGGGGGTATGAGGAAAGAGTCCAATTTAGGAAAGTCGTATTTCTGGTCGAAATGCTAGTGAGTTACCATGGCTCTAATATCCAAAAGTTATTTCCGGCTGTATTTAAAAGTGCACAGGACGTTCTGCGCTAATAATGTGAGAAATAACACAAAAAAATACAAAATACTGCAAAGTTGCTTAGGAGCCATGAACAGGGCGACCATGTCTATCGGCGCCATCTTGACCAAAGTGTTATGTTTGGGGCAAATCCAACACAACACATCACTGAGTTCCACTCTTCATATTTTCAAGCTTGGTGATGCTGCATTATGTTATGAGTATGCTTGTCATCGGCAAGGACTAGGGAGTAGAGCTAAGCACAGGCAAAACCTAGTTCAGTCTGCTTTCCAACAGACACTGGGATACAAATTCACCTTTCAGCAGAACAAGAACATAAAACACAAGGGCAAATATACATTGGAGTTGCTTACCAAGACGACATTGAATGTTCCTGAGTGGCCTAGTTAGAGTTTTGACTTAAATCGGCTTGAAAATCTATGGCAAGACTTGGAAATGGCTGTCTAGCAATGATCAACAACCAACTTGCCAGCTCTTGAAGAATTGTTAAAATAATGTGCAAATATTGTACAATCCATGTGTGCAAATTCTAAAAACATGTTTTCACTTTCTCATTATGGGGTATTGTGTGTAGATGGGTGAGAACAAACATTATTTAATCAATTTTGAATTCAGGCTGTAACACAAAATGTAGAATAAGTCAAGGGGTATGAATACTTTCTGAAGGCACTGTATCCACCTCAACTACCTTGTACGCCTGCACATCGACTCTGTACTGATACCCTGTGTATATAGCCAAGTTATCGTTACTCATTGTTTATTTATTATTACTTTTCTATTATTTCTATATTTTCTTTCTCTCTGCATTGTTAGGAAGTAAGTAAGCATTTCACTTAAATGAGCTAGGGACATCAATTCTTGTAAGTAGTTGCCAAAAACAGAGGGTCACAGAGACTTCTCAAATCAACAAATGAGAAAGGCTACCTAGCTGAAGGTAGACTTAGGCCAAGATTCAATCAAATGCAGAGTGGACTTCAGAAGTGTATTGGATTTGCACAACAGCGTGTATCGGTAGGAGGGAGTTGACACTTGATATAGAAGTCTGGTTGACTGGATGACTTCTCAGCTAGATTTGCCATTGGATTGCCAATTTTGAAATTCTTAAAATTCTCTGAGAGTAATTCGTGCCACACCCTGTTTACCTTTAATCTCTACATAAATACCATGGCAATAGTACTTACTTTTGTGCCTTTGATTTGATTTAAAACACATGTCAAATTTTCACTCAGACTCACTTTTATTCAGTATGTGAGCACGCCATAATCGCTTTCCCATACATGACAGCAAATAAAGTTGAAGCATTTTCAATCTCAAACATGGAGTCCATTCATCTTCTCCTTTCTTGTCAACTGGTGACTGCTTCTGTGACCCTCCTTCCCTGAGTCATTTGCATCTCCTCACTGCTTCATCTTGGCCACATTGTCTATGGAGCCTGTTGGGTCCATTTTGAACAGCATGAAGTGTCCCTGCACCTGGGCGGCACTGATGTCGGGCTGTGCGGCCAAATCGATCCCCCTCTGTGGTGTCGGAACATCTGGGTGAGCTGCCAGTGTGTGCAGTGGCCCACGTACTGCTTCAAGTCCACACGAACCGGCCTGATCAGAGCTAGGTCCAACCTACAGGGAGGAAGGGAGATGGTAGTCAGGATACACAGAGGATTTGATCCCAATACAAACAATACATTTAGCTAAATACTGTAGGTACTGTTACATCTCAAAGTGGCCCATACCTGTCTATGAAGTTGGCGGTCATTAAGTTGATTTTGGCCTCCGACGAGGCCACTCAATCCGAAACGTTGAGGAGGCCACTGAAGGTCAGCCTGCCCATGCCCTGGTAGGCCAGAGGGCCTGTGGGACAGAGAAATGCAATAATGAGTCAGTCCTAAAGCACAACCTACCTGCAGGAAGGGTCTTGGATCTAACCTTCCCTGTAGTAAGTAGAGCAAATGCCAGATTACAGTGTCTTTGCAGGATCAGAGGCTTTGCGATTGCCATAGATTAACAGCAATTGAAACTGTGAATTCCAGTAATTCATGAATACTACCCACCATATGTTTGCACACAAACCTCTATACCTCTTCTTTTAAGATGGGAGTAGAAATTAAACAAAATAATCTTAACAAAGATATATACAGTACAGTATACAATATATAGCAGGACAAGCAGGTGCAATATACGTACTCTTTGTGGGCAGCAGCTCTCGGCTGACGAAGGCGGCGTCCACGTCCTCCATGCCACGCAGATGTTTGAGGCGGTCGTCAGACAGGCTGCGGTCGCTCAAGGTCATCAGGCAGATGTGGTAGCCCAGCTCTCCGGCCAGGGCCATACTGAAATACATGCAGGCAGGCACGCAGGTCACACTGTGTACTGTCTATATATCTCTCCATCCACTTCTGTCTCTCAAGCGTTATCTCATTTAGCAGCAAAATAACCCAAATGTACTGGAAAATCATGTAATTCTGTGTTTTGAGTGATCTATCCTATTAACTTCAATATTTTGAGTGAACTACCCCTTTAAACGGAATGTCTTCAAGGGATTATGTAAACACCACTAACAAAAAGCTCCAAAGAAAGGTTGAGGCTGCCATATTCCCAGTTTACTCACAATAAGCTGCTTTTCCCACAGCCTGGAGGTCCATACAGCAGATAACCTCTCCTGTAGGGATCCCTGGATGCAGAACATAAAACACAACCACATTAACACTGACACAAGACCACACTCATTTGCTTATATGGGGAACAGGGATGGGGTCAATTCCATTTCAAAACAGCCATTAATTCATCATTAATTACTGAATTGGAATTACCTCGGTCTGTGTACCACTTAGGGTTTCCGATTAACTCCTTCACGTCGTCTACGATCCTATCGGCCAAGCCCTGCTCCAGGACAACCGAGCTGATGGGCTGCCGTCGCCGCAGGAACCCAAAAGGCCTCCACTCGGAGCCCAGGGCCGTGTACATCACCGTCCGACCCTCCTCCTGCTTCAGGGCCAACTCCCTGGCTACATCACACCCAAACAGACAAGACAGCTAATCATCTCCCTCATTTGCAGCAGCCAATCACATATCAAGTTGTGTGCACATTTTCCTGGGCCACTGTCACTGTGTCTACTAGTCTAGATTCTAGTGTACCTTCTTGCAGGATGTTGAATAAGACGTGTCTATTTCTCCCCATGGCGGTAAAGGTGACTGACTCCCAGGGAGTGCCTGTGTGAAGATCCACCATCTGTTTCTCTCTGGTCCTCTCCACTCTGATCCACTTCCTCCCATACCTACACTCAAACACCGATGGCAGTCAGCAGTGAGCACACAGTTTACCAACTCAATCTGAAACAAAAGTGCCTACCAGGTTAGGTTCAGCATCATTTCCTCACATCAGCTCAGAGAACAACAGAGATGAACTATGAGAGCCCACTAAGGTAACTCCAACAGAATACTCAGAGTACAGACATTGATATTGAGTCGTTTCAGGTCTCACCAGATGATGTGGTTCCCAGGATTGGGGTGAAAGTCAAACTGCGTGTGGACCCGTCCCTCTCATGCTCCATGTAGAAGGTCTCCACACTCAGGTGCTGTGTGTGATTAGCGTGCTTGGTGACCCAGCTCAGCAGCCAGTGGTAGCTCGTCCCGGCTGGGCACCTCCAGGGTGATCATGTAGTTCCTCCGGAAGAAGATCATCTCAAATTGGGCTGATTTCCTGTCCACAGCAATGGCTGAGACCACCTCCACCAGCCCAAAGCCAGCTCCAAAGTAAGGGTTGTCCTTCACGGCATCTATGAAGTCTGATAGAAGCATGGTCCTTGTGTTTCCTAGCTATGTAGGCTACTCAATGCAGGTTTTCTACCTCTTCGCGGCCTAGAATATAAATATTAGACACTCTTCTAAGTTACAGTATTATTATTAGCTACTGGCTAGGGGCTCAGGCTGGTTGGAACTGTTTCTCTGATCATAGCTAGCTACCGTCTGTCAGACTGTTTTAGCAACAGACAGATGACTTGAGAGATTGTGTGCAAAGGCGGTAGCTAGCAATTTAGCTAATTTAGCTAGTTAGCTAGATTACATCCCAAAAAGGTGTCCTCACAGTCTTCACATATCATAATTTTCCAGTCTTGCAAGTCTCATTCGTAGAACCGTAGTACCCTTGCCTTGTTACACCACAGCTTGGGCATTTCACTTCAACAGTGATGCTGTGGTTTGGTCAGAGAGGAAGAGGCGAAGGGAGAGGGTTTACTCCTCCCAAAATCTGTCCACGAAAATAATAAAATCTGTCCACGAAAATAATAAGTTTGTATGGAGGTCAATGGGAGAGTAGAATTTGGTCTCTCAGAATGAGACTGATATGAGGTAATTATTAATAAGTGACTGTTATCGATATATAACATATATATATTTTAGAGTAAAATTCGGGAGATGGTAGCTCTATAAACAACTTCTTCCGTTTTGCCCCAAATTCCTAATGAGTTAATTGTTACATGATTAATTTAATCGGGTAACAATTAGACATAGATAGTTGATTCGATAAATAACAGCCATCACATTAATGAAAGTCACGACACTCCCGAGAGAGTTTTAAGTCCCCTTGCATAGACTGTGGCTACGGAAGACGCAGTATCGGTACCAGCCACACGGGCAGCTCAAGACTTTTCAATGACATCACATTTCTGTACTCGCTGAAAGGCTTCTCTCCAATCAGAATCCAACTCACAGCCTAGAGTTGTGTCAAACTCAGCATGTACTAGTTGTCTGCATCTGCTGATGATGTTCATTCCAAGGAGACCTGGTACTGTAGTCTGTGACTGCTGAGGATCTTCGACTACCAGGAAGCCACACCCAGGTAAAGTTGTCCCCATGGGCTCTACGTCTAACCCAAGGTAACCTAGGTAAGGGATGTCCAACCCGTTAGCTGCAGTTATCTTAAGCCGTCCTTCTGTCAAAATAATGTCTTCATCTTCCCCTAGTAAGTGTTCTCTGAAGAATGGATAGTGCTGACATGGCTCCCGGTATCCAGCAAACAGTTTGCAGCGACCCACCCCAATCTTGAGATCTACAACTGGACATTTGCCCACTGCGTGCTCAAGAAACCAGTCACGCCTACAAGTACTGTTGGGTAAGCCTACAGATTTTCCCCGAATTGCCCAGCTCTTGGTAACCGAGGATGTAGTTTTCCTGCACACTAGCAGCTTGTGTGGTAGTGAACTCATTTACTGAAATGCTCTTCTTTGTGCATGGTTTAACAATGTGTCCCACACCTTTACACCTGAAGCAAATGGCCTGACCGTCATCAGTAAACTTCGGTTTGGCTCTAGGTTTCCCCCCTGTGTCATTACCAGTTTTCTCCTTGTTCAGAGCAAGACCCCAATCTGCGTTTGTTAGCTCCCCAATGGCTTTACTCTGCTCTGCCACCACTTTAAGAACATCTTCCAAAGAGACAGCTGGTTTCTCCTGTACATCAATGGCAGAACACTGAGAATCCCTCACTGTCTTGTAACACACCACTTTCCTACCCTTGACAACCTTAGTGTTACTGGGCTGGTCCTCCAGTGTCCAGGTAATGGCTTCCTCACGTACAGTTGAAGTCGGAAGTTTACATACACTTAGGTTGGAGTCATTAAAACTAGTTTTTCAACCACTCCACAAATTTCTTGTTAACAAACTATAGTTTTGGCAAGTCGGTTAGGACATCTACTTTGTGCATGACAAAAGTAATTATTCCAACAATTGTTTACAGACAGATTATTTCACTTATAATTCACTGTCTAACATTTCCAGTGGGTCAGAAGTTGACTGTGCCTTTAAACAGCTTGGAAAATTCCAGAAAATGATGTCATGGCTTTAGAAGCTTCTGATTGGCTAATTGACATCAATTGGAGGTGTACCTGTGGATGTATTTCAAGGCCTACCTTCAAACTCAGTGCCTCTTTGCTTGAAATCATGGGAAAATGAAAAGAAATCAGCCAAGACCTCAGAAAATAAATTGTAGACCTCCACAAGTCTGGTTCATCCTTGCGAGCAATTTCCAAATGCCTGAAAGGAACCATGTTCATCTGTACAAACAATAGTATGCAAGTATAAACACCATGGGACCACACTGCCGTCATACTGCTCAGGAAGGAGACGCGTTCTGTCTCCTGGAAATGAACGTACTTTGGTGTGAAAAGTGCAAATCAATCCCAGAACAACAGCAAAGGACCTTGTGAAGATGCTGGAGGAAACAAGTACAAAAGTATCTATATCCACAGTAAAACAAGTCCTATATCGACATAACCTGAAAGGCCGCTCAGCAAGGAAGAAGCCACTGCTCCAAAACCGCCATAGAAAAGCCAGACTACGGTTTGCAACTGCACATGGGGACTAAAGATCGTACTTTTTGGAGAAATGTCCTCTGGTCTGATGAAACAAAAATAGAACTTTTTGGCCATAATGACCATCGTTATATTTGGAGGATAAAGGGGCTTGCTTGCAAGCCGAGAACACCATCCCAACCGTGAAGCACGGGGGTGGCAGCATCATGCTGTGGGGGTGCCTTGCTGCAGGAGGGACTGGTGCACTTCACAAAATAGATGGCATCATGAGGAAGGAAGATTATGGGGATATATTGAAGCAACATCTCAAGACATCAGTCAGGAAGTTAAAGCTTGGTCGCAAATATGTCTTCCAAATGGACAATGACCCCAAGCATACTTCCAAAGTTGTGGCAAAATGGCTTAAGGACAACAAAGTCAAGGTATTGGAGTGGCCATCACAAAGACCTGACCTCAATCCTATTAAAAATGTGTGGGCAGAACTGAAAAAGCGTGTGCGAGCAAGGAGGCCTACAAACCTGACTCAGTTACATCAGCTCTGTCAGGAGGAATGGGCCAAAATTCACCCAACTTATTGTGGGAAGCTTCTGGAAGGCTACCCGAAACGTTTGACCCAAGTTAAACAATTTAAAGGCAATGCTACCAAATACTAATTGAGTGTATGTAACCTTCTGACCCACTAGGAATGTGATGAAAGAAAAAAAAGCTGAAATAAATCATTCTCTCTACTATTATTCTGACATTTCACATTCTTAAATTAAAGTGGTGATCCTAAATGACCTAAGACAGGGAATATTTACTAGGATTAAATGTCAGGAATTGTGAAAAACTGAGTTTAAATGTATTTGGCTAAGGTGTATGTAAACTTCCGACTCCAACTGTACATCAAACAGAGTACACTGAGGCCTCTTCCTGACTAACTTCCGCAGCTCTCTCTTGAGAGTAGGATCTATGACGCCCTCAATGAACTGATTTCTGACAGTTTTATCAACTTTATCCTCGGGAATGGCATCTTGTTGTTTCAGTACTGATATAAGTATCAGCGAGAGTGCATGTGAGTAATCACGAAAATCATCTCCCTCTCGCTGATGGCGGCCATAGATGTGCAACAGCTGAGATGCACTGCGCTAATCTGTATAAGCCCCCCTTGGATACAGTGGCTTGCGAAAGTATTCACCCCCTTTGGCATTTTTCCTATTTTGTTGCCTTACAACCTGGAATTAAAATGGATTTTTGGGGGGTTTGTATAATTTGATTTACACAACATGCCTACCACTTTGAAGATGCAAAATATTTTTATTGTGAAACAAACAAGAAATAAGACAAAAAAACAGAAAACTTGAGCGTGCATAACTATTCAACCTCCCCAAAGTCAATACTTTGTGTAGCCACCTTTTGCAGCAATTACAGCTGCAAGTCTCTTGGGGTATGTCTCTATAAGCTTGCCACATCTAGCCACTGGGATTTTTGCCCATTCTTCAAGGCAAAACTGCTCCAGCTCCTTCAAGTTGGATGGGTTCCGCTGGTGTACAGCAATCTTTAAGTCATACCACAGATTCTCAATTGGATTGAGGTCTGGGCTTTGACTAGGCCATTCCAAGACATTTAAATGTTTCCCCTTAAACCACTTGAGTGTTGCTTTTGCAGTATGCTTAGGGTCATTGTCCTGCTGGAAGGTGAACCTCCATCCCAGTCTCAATTCTCTGGAAGACTGAAACAGGTTTCCCTCAAGAATTTCCCTGTATTTAGCGCCATCCATCATTCCTTCAATTCTGACCAGTTTCCCACTACCTGCCGATGAAAAACACCCCCACAGCATGCCGCTGCCACCACCATGCTTCACTGTGGGGATGGTGTTCTCGGGGGGATGAGAGGTGTTGGGTTTGCGCCAGACATAGCGTTTTCCTTGATGGCCAAAAAGCTCAATTTTAGTCTCATCTGACCAGAGTACCTTCTTCCATATGTTTGGGGAGTCTCCCACATGCCTTTTGGTGAACACCAAACGTGTTTGCTTATTTTTTTCTTTAAGCAATGGCTTTTTTCTGGCCACTCTTCCGTAAAGCCCGGCTCTGTGGAGTGTACGGCTTAAAGTGGTCCTATGGACAGATACTCCAATCTCCGCTGTGGAGCTTTGCAGCTCCTTCAGGGTTATCTTTGGTCTCTTTGTTGCCTCTCTGATTAATGCCCTCATTGCCTGGCCTGGAGTTTTGGTGGGTGGCCCTCTCTTGGCAGGTTTGTTGTGGTGCCATATTATTTTTTTATAATGGATTTAATGGTGCTCTGTGGGATGTTCAAAGTTTCAGATATTTCTTTATAACCCAACCCTGATCTGTACTTCTCCACAACTTTGTCCCTGACCTGGTTGGAGAGCTCCTTGGTCTTCATGGTGCCGCTTGCTTGGTGGTGCCCCTTGCTTAGTGGTGTTGCAGTCTCTGGGGCCTTTCAGAGCAGGTGAATATATACTGAGATCATGTGACAGATCATGTGACACTT